ATAGATATCAGTACCAGAAATGTTGTAAGATTCCTGCACATATTTTAAGATGAATATTTAATAGCAAAATTATAACATATGTGTACTAGCATGCAAGTCTCACAATGTCTAAAGGGAATTATTCATAGTGTTCATACAATTGTAGCATAGCCCTTTGAAGCCAAATTATCAATTTTAAAAATGTAACAGATAAATAAGATAATAGCATATATTTCTAGCAAGTACCAAATAGGTATATATTTCAGAAATCCAGTGTTGGTTTACAGTCAAAAATTGACAACCCCTATAATTATTTAATATCATTAAAATACTATTTCAATATTTTGCAACTTTATCTTGTTTTGACCAAGTGACAGGGTAGCAATGGATGAAATAAGCTAGGCTCAAATTTGCTCATAAATTTGCTGAATGTAGGTAACTCTATCTTCACTAAAAAACAGAGCAGCTAAAATGACTGCAGAATAGTAGTGTGAGATGAGAGCTCTATATATTTCCATTTTGTTTTAAGTTTTCTGATGATCTTAGAGTGTTCCTCTTTGGTGTCTACAGCTTGCCTTTATTCAAAATACTCATAATAGCTTCTTGTTATGGATATATAGTGTAGTGTATAATATAGGAAGCTAACTTTCCACAGGCATGGAATGAATATTATTAGCAATCCTATAATTAGTTTTAGGAATCTATATTCAGTACAATTTACAACAATTGAACCCAAAATTTCTGTTGTTAAGTGAAACATTTGTTAAGTAAGTTTTGCTCTATTTTACAACTTTTCTTGCTACAATTGTTAAGTGAATCACTGCAGTTGTTAAGCTAGTAACCCAACTGTTAAATGAACCATTGTTCCCCATTGACTTTGCTTGTGAGAAGGTAGCAAAAGTTGATCACATGACCTTGGAACACAGCAATAGTCATAAATATGAATGCCTTGCCAAGAATCTAAATTTTGATCACATGATCATGGGGATGCTACAATCATCATAACCAGGGGTGGGATTCAAAACTTTTAACAACTGTTTCTGTGGGCGTGGCTTAGGTGGTGGTCATGGCTTGGTGGTCATGTGACTGGGTAGGCATGGCTTGGTGGTCATGTTATTGGCTGGGTGTGGCCAACTCAATTTCACTCACATCAAGGCATACATCTCCTTGCCTGGCCTCTCATGACTGTGGGGATGCTGCAACAATCGTAAGTGTGAAAAACGGTCATAAGTCACTTTTTTCAATGGTCACTCACACAAGCAAAGTACCAGCAAAGAAGGGAAAAAAACTCCAGAGAAGTTCCAGAGACAGGAAGTCTAGTCCTGCCAAGAATGTAATAAGGGTTAACGGAGAGGCAGATTCTGTAAGCAATACCAGAATGTTCCCTTCCTGCCTTCCTTACAGGATTAGGCCAGTAATTTCTTCTAACAACCGGTTCTCCGAACTGCTTAGAATGTTAACAACCGGTTCTAGGGAATAGGTACAAACCTGTAGAATCTCACCCCTGGTAATAGCTGAAAAATGATCATAAGTCATTTAGTGCCGTTGTAACTTTGAACAGTTACTAAATGAACTGTTGCAAGTTGAGGACTACCTATATAAATACAACCATGTTTGGCCTGTAAAAACTAAGATGTTCACTAGACGGCAGAGGAGCTCTTCAGGAATCATAACTCTTTGCTGCAATTTAATGGTCACCAGTATTTTTACAGATCAGCTCTGGTTCCTCTTGTATAAATAACATAATTAATATAGACTATGTACACAGAAATTAAAGGGAAATTGTACTTCTTGTTGAGTATGGGAAATGGAAAACAGAATTCAAATTAGGAGGAGGAAAAACAAGCAAATCAGTACAGTATACAATATCAGTTATTAAGCCCTCAATAATCTAAGACCTTTAATAGTCTGAGATTTAATTTTCTGAATATTATGTATGGATGTTATTGTGCCATCAAATATATTGTCAAATGGAAGGATTCATCTATTTCACAATAAACAGCCAGAACCTGCTAAATGATCCTATCGGCTATAATCAAAACATCTGTTTGAAAACAGTAATCCTGAATAAAATAGCTGGTAAAAAAAGGTTTAATGCTTGGTGATTACCTTAGCACTTCCATGAGTTTTCTTACCAATAGTACAGAAGCAGATGGTTCTTGCTTTCTTCTGATCTGTTTTCTCAGTTGTCCATCATCCCATTCCATTGGGATTTTTGATGGTCTCCCATTCAAGTACTAACCAAATCTGACTTTTGGGTTTTTCAATCATAGCTACTTGCTGTAATATGTTGCAAAGGGGATTCCTCTATTTTATAACTAGAATTGGACAAAACTGATTAACCTTGTCTTCCTATAATCTGATTCTGCAAAGAAAATTGGAAGTAGGCTTTGAATCAAAGAATGAGGCTTCAGGAATTGGGAGTTGTGCTTTCCTTGCTGAATCCTTACTCCAGGCTTCCAAAGTAAGTGGATAGCCTGGAACCTGAGCTAGATTTGGCTCTCTATAAAGCCATTTCTCTGTTACAAGGACCATCAATAACATTCTCTCTCCTGAATAAGATGGAAGATTCATAAAATCTAGCTTTCTCATAAAGTTTTTATATCCTACCAGCTTAACACTAACCATTTAGATCATAAATCATTCCTCGCTCCCTCATCACTCTGTGCAAAATAGACTTCATTCTTTAACATGCTAAGTCTTTGAATTAATCAAGAATGGGGAGAAGGGGATAAGCATTTTAGTAGACTATGTGGAAAAAAATTCGAGAATTACCCATCAGAAACAAGCCATGCCAAAATTCTGTGCATCACTACGTTCTGAAAGTGTAAAACAAACAAGTGATATCATACAGCCAAGTTGAAAGACCCAGGTGAAAATCTAATTGCTTCATAATAAATATGGGACATTAGCCTCAAGAGCTTCATTTGTTTTCCTCTAGAGTAATTATCTAAACAGATTTATTGACTAATGGAAATATTATGTGTGGCTTCTTTCCTGGCATCATAAAAATTAAAGCATAGTGTATAACTTTAGCAGTCCAGAATTGTTCCTGCTAAACACTATAATTCTGTCAGCATGTTCCATTCAGTTTTAACAAATTACCATCAAGCTGATCAATGTCATTGGAGATTATCAGTATGATATAGATTTGAAATTGGGTACTAAATAGACAGCACTGCCTTTCACTATCTGAAGTTGTAAAACAGTATGGATGAGGGCTTGTTATTTTTAGTAATTTTAACAAAAAATTAGTAATAATCCAGAATCAGTGGGGTTCTGAATGAACAGATACTTTATCATGCGTGGGATGGGTATGTATATGTATCCACCTGGCGGTTGGGAAACAAGGTAATCTATGTTCCTCACTGGAACTCTGAAATATGGTCCAGACCATTGCAAGCTGCCTGATACTCAGCAGATGAAAAAAAGAGTGGAGAAACAGCTTTAGCTTTCCACCCTTATCCTCACACAGTAGACTTAAATATGAGCTTATGCACATGTCCAATCATGCTTATTCTTCATTTTCTAACAATCGAAGATAACAGTTCAGATGATTTGTTACCGGCTTCTTTTTCTAGAGAACTCAGGAACTACCCAGAACTGGTATATAGGGAGAGCCCATCACCCTGTGTACCTCTATATTTCAAACATGAACAAGGTGCTCAACGGAACTAGCACTGAGATCTCTCAAGCACAATTTTAAAACTTTTGGATTCATCAGACACTTGAAGCTGATCGTCTGAACTGGAGCCTCTTTTTCAATGAATAGATTTCTGAGGGGTGTTAAATTGGGTTTCCAGTAAAAAACAACAACACACACACACTTTTCACAGACTTATAAAAACCAGCTATATTGTACAACATGTACTTTGACTAAAATCCCTGAATAAACATCCCAATGGTAATGCTAATCTCAGGTTATTTTGTTCAAAATTATTGTTCTATTTTAAAAGGCATGTAAACATATTTCCTATTTCTTGTTATTGTTATTTTGTTTCTTTCTTTCTTGGTTGCACTTTTAAATATCAGTCAAAATAGTATCAAATTAAATTATTTTTTAAAATGTCAAATCCTCCCATCTCAGATACAAACTTCCCAAAATGAAACACCACCAAACTACTTTTTAAATTGCAACTACATATTTTGTTAATCAAAACTTTGAAAACATGACACCAACTATTTATACAATATTAAAAGTATCATATTAACAGAGTTTGGAAGAACCTGGTAGGTCATCTACTCCAACACCCCCCTCAAGCCTACACCACTTCTAACAAAAGGCAGTTCAGTCTCTTCTCAAGGAGCATAGTTACAAGTAATCAAAATTACTGATAAAGGAAAGTATTTTTAGCTCAGGGTGGGAATGAGGGGTCCTTAATATTTTCTATGCTTGATTGTTTTCTTGCAGACATTTCATTACCCAAACTAGGTAACATCAGCAGTGCTCTGCATCATCACTGATGATGTTACCTAGTTTGGGTAATTAAACATCTACAAGAAAACAACCAAGCTCAGAGAGCCTCAAGAACCTCTCAATGTCAAAATTAATCTTTTTTTAAAAAAAAAATTCTATCAATGTTCCAAACTACATTAGGCTGATTTGCAGACTAAGACTAATAAGAAATTGTGGACAGCAATCAAGAGCAAGCTATTATGCTACCTAAGAAGATGAGTATAACTGTGCAATAGAGGTTCTTAAAACATTTGACTTAATTTTTTTTCACTAAACTACAGGATCAACCACATAAAGAAATCAACATCACCACAGCAGTGCAAGATCTCAGTGTGGGAAACAGAAGCCCTATAATTTTAACCTCAAAACATCTAATAAACAGAATTCACACATTAGCCATTATGGTCTCCCAGCAAGCTATATAACTTAGTTTAATTCATAAATTAGATACCCATACTGAGCCAAATTATGCTACAATATGTTCTGATGTACAAACCAACAATTCACTGCTACTGTTTGGTATATTACCACAATGTAAATTACGTAAATATTCATGCTAGCTTACCCTTCTTGTTCCACCAGGGTCCTTCTGGTATAGCATAGGAGAGGTCTTTAAATTCAATGTTCACAGCTGGTCTTCGAGGAAGGTAGGAGAAATGATGGGCTTCAGTCAAAACATTGTCCATCTTCTTTAAATGGCCATTGAGCAAATGAACCTCTTGTGTGTCTGTACCACCAGAGACCACCTCATCTACTGAAACACATATTGACTTTGGCTCAGGCATAGTAGATGAAGAATTACTGGCATTCTAGAACACAAGAAGGGAAACAAATAAAACATAGCTTTCTTGTGTTGTCTTCCTTCCTTCCCTCCCTCTTCTCTCCATTGCAAATACAATTATTGTATATTTGTCTCAGAACGAGTCTTATAATACTACAGAAAAAGAGTTAACTCAATGATGTTCTGCTAACATGGTTATTTTACAAGAAAATATGGCTTTGGAAATAGGCAAATCAGTCAAAGTGTGGCCCATTTTCTCATTTCTCAATTTTAAATTTGTTCTTTATGCATTGTTCTTTTTCTTTCTTTTTTAGTAAAACTTACAAAAATTACTTTTGTGCATGTTCTCACCCCACCCACCCCCCATTTAAATAGCACTCTGCACCACCCAATATTGTTTCATAACTGCATTTTACTTAATGTGTAAATTCAAGAATTCTAAATTAGGTTATTTCATAGTGAAGCACAAATTAACAAATGTGTTTTTTCATGCTAAAAGGACTACGCCAACTCCAGTGTTCATTTTTGCCAATCTTAAATGTATTGCATTGGTTTCTTTGTCTGTAAATGGATGCTTACATGTTTCTCTTTCATAAAAAACTTGAGATGTTCTTATCTTCCATTTGTATAAATAAACAAGAATCCAATAGATTCATAATACTTCGGGCTTTGTTTACCCCTCCTTTTTTGCTTCTGTCAGGTCTACATAACATTCATACTTTATATTACCCAGTTTAGTATGGTATTGTATCAAAATTGTACCCTAAATTAATTTTAACTTTAACGATCAGTTGATAATCTACCATTGGGGGCATGCTTCGATTAAACATAAGCTTCAACTGCACGTTGTCTGACAGTCTGACCCAAATACCATAAGTAAAAGCTTCCCATTTTTCTTTGTGGCCATGCTAGAGGAGAAGATGGTAACATGTGAAACAATGTTTGTTACTGTTTATTATAATACTGTGTGCTACCTCATAACTGAATGAGTATCCACATGCTAGTAACAGTGTCATAACTATGATCAATGTGGAAAGCTAACAATAAATATTTTATTGCTAAGGCTAGGGTAAATACCAAAGATAAATTTAAACAATGCAGTTAAATGTTTAGAGAACCTTCCAGAGTCATCCAATTAGTGTTGTGCCAACATGAAAGTAATTGTTATTTATTTGTATATTCAGGAAATACAGTACAATGAAGATGCCATAAATTGATAATGTGTAAAACATCTACGACAAAATCAAATATAGAAATACTCAATAATATATGGAACTGCACTATATCTGGCCATTCTGGGGGTCATCATATTTCTACATCATCATCAATGGAAGAGTCAAAGGTGAATTCCAGAAAGAAAGAACACAGCAGAAATTCCTTGGCTGTATCAGTGCCTTAGAGATGACAGAAAACCCTTTAATATCCTAAAATAGGATATCAGATTTCTGCTATTTCCTCAGTCTATAAAATATGTTCCTGTGCAATTCATATTCTTCCAAACTTTCATGAGCAACTTTTCAGAAGGCATGGAGACTGTTAGGGCAAGAAAATTGAAAAAAAAAAACATGCACTTATATTATGTGCAAAATGACACTGAACTTGCTTCTTCACCTTTCCACCAGTTGGTAGAACAGTAGGAAATTTCTAAATAGCTATTAAATAAGTAACCTCTCCAGACAACCTGGCAAACAGGTTGTTTATTGTTTCCCATTTATATGACATCTTTTACAATGTAGTGAAGTAATTAAGGAGCCAAGGGAAATGTCTTGACATGAATTTGTGTAGGACCTTTAAAATGGACCAGATCAGGAAACAGAACCATAGAAATATATTTTCCTGAGATAGCGTATAAAAACAGAATTTTGCAAAACTGATTGTGCTTTTCTTCCCCTCCCTCTTATATCCCATTAAATCAGTGAGGAGTCAGCCTGGGTCTCTTCTTAAAACTATTCCTCTTCCTAGGACTGTCTTCTTTGTTTATATAACTGTTTCTGAATATTTGCTTCAAAGTTATCTCCCGATTCTCTACAATTTGGGATGGTAGAGCATGAGAGAGCTTATAACTGGGACTCCAGGCATACACATTGCCGCCAGATACTAATGCAGGATAACAAAAGTAGACCCAGCTGATCAGCTGGGACTCAGGAGGCAGAGAATAGATGGGGGCAGGGCCAGTCAGAGATGGTATTTGCTGATTCTCCAAACTACTCAAAATTTCCATTACCACTTCTCCAGAACTAGTCAGAACATGCTGAATATCACCTCTGATACTTTATGCCAATTTCAAATATGAGAACATCTGCATTTGTTTATGTGCATCAACTTGTTGTCAACTTTTAGTGAACAGGTAGTTTTTCTTGAGAACAATCTATCCCCCAAGGAAGTCCTTTGGGTCTTTTAAAGGCGTACCCATTGAGTCCCTCATCTTTTTCTTTTTCCTTCCACTTTCTCAGTATTGCAGACTTCTGAAGAGGTTTTCACATAATGTGCCCAAAATATGACTCTGATCATTTGTGCCCTAAATGATTGAATTGATTATCTTTATAATCCATTTGTTTTCTTGATTATCCATAGTATTCTCAGGACTATATCAGTACTAGCCCCAACTAAAAGTCATGTTTAAGACCATAAACATGGATTTCACATAGCAGGAACTAAGGATCAATTTATCTGCTTCAGACACACAATAATCCAATAACTCTACCACAACTTCCACTCTCTAGTTCCTCAAAAGAAATGTGAAGATAAGCTGTTACTTTCTCTTCTGCTAATCTTATAACATTAAGAACAAAGAAAAAAGAATTATCACCCCGTCTTCAGCTGCTACAGGTCTTGAAGTACAAAAATTTTCTCATTCCACTCCAAAAAAGGGGAAATATAATTTATTGCTTGCATGCACACACATCCTCTACTTCATGTTCTATGCCTTTGCCTGAAATAAAGTATTCTGATGGTATGAAACCACAAAATTGGAAAACTGTGTTGTAACTGTGTGTAGAATTCTCTTACAGAAGCACCTCTGATTCCAAAAATGTATTTGGCCTTCGCTCAAAGTACATCATTTTGATGTTTGTTTCTGTTGTCTTGTCTAGATAGTTCTTTTGCAGTGCAGAGGGAAAGAGAAACATGCAATTTGGACAATCCGAAACTTAATTTAAAACCTCAGATGATACAATGAGCATTTCAGAAATAATTAATTCTAGTTTGCTTCTGGCTGTGATTCAAGATGCTGATCACCACATAAAGCCCTGCTTGACATATGGCCTAGTTATTTGAGGGACCACCTGTCTCCCATTGTATTTGATTGGCTGGTTTAATCCTACAGAGTTACCACGTTCTGGATTTTACTGATTAAACAATGCCATCTCTCCGGACCCCAGAAGCACACTTTCTCTATAGCAGCACCTAGTTTCTGAAATGAGGCTTGAATTGCTCATACCCTACTGGTATTTCAAAGAGCCCTAAAACATGGTTCTTCATCCAGGCCTTTGGTGAGGACAACTGATGCTCCTTTCTTCTTTTTTGTTTCCCATGATTGTTCTTCTGCCTTGTGCTGTTTTTGTGAGATTTGTTTTGTTCTTAAATGTTTTTAACAATTGTAAACCACTGGGAGTCAGGCAGCATACAAAATTAATAAATTACTTCCTTTTAAAATCTTCATCCCTATATGTAAGAGTTTTATTGAGTATGAGGCAGGGAATTTCTTTTAGTAATAAATTCAGAGATCATAATAATGTTAAGGTACTTATTTTGGGAAATGAGAACTCACAGAAAAACCTAACACATTCTGATAGAGCAGTTTCTCTATGGATGGGCTCAGGCACTAATCGAAAGCTCAGAAGACTAAAGCTCTGATTCCCCAGATGGACTCAGATTGGATCCTGCAAAAATCTAATAGTTCAGACTATCCATAATTTCAAACTGTAATGAAGAGACTTAATAGTATGCATGTCGAACTTACAATTATATATGTCTAACTTCATGCAGTACATGGTGTAATAGATATGCTCTCCATCTCAGTTTAAATGGCTCTTTAAATACAGATTTCATCATTGGGGGGGGGGGGGATTTTATATACAGTAACTGTAAATCCATTCCTTGGCCAGCAGCTGTATTTGATTTTTTTTTAAAGTTCCAACTAAGAACAATTTTAAGAAAATGGACTTTGTTCCTTTTACATCGAATTCATTATATAAAGAGCTGGAAAGGTATTTGTGCTTCAGCAGAGAAAAGTGTTTTCGAATCACAGGATGCGCCCGTGAAAGTCTGAGCATGCTCAGAAAACCATCCTCTTCCCCCCTCCTTCCTTGTTTTAACGAGCGCAACACTGAGGTAACTTTCGGTCAAACCCAGCTATATGCAGCTGACTTCAAATACAGGATGATGTAAATGACGCCCTCCCCCTCCCCCCAACCCGAGGAAAATAAACACAAACCTTTCGATTTTAATCAGTCTATTTTGTTGCAATAAATGAGACCTTAAACAACTTTGGAGGCTTTCGGTTTGGGCATCTGCCGCCGAGCCAATGGGTAGTAATACACTCATATAAATTATATTAGGCGATTTGCATTGTGAAAATGACATTATTATGCCTTTCCTCGCCCGGCATTACCAGCTATTTCCGTGTCAAGGATACCTTCAGAAAGCAAACGAGCCACAGCCAGAAAACACCCGGCAAAAAAAAGGGGGGGGGGGGCGCGGAGACCACATTCGCTTACCACAGCAATTTGCGCGCTGGGAACTAACGCAAGAGAACAAGGCGAAGGGTTTTTCTTTTGCCCTTCCAATAAGAACGAGGGCTGGCAAGGAGACTCGGGATCCGGGAAGCCACCGCTAACCCACCTCCGAGAAGGCTCTCTCCAGGTCCCTTCGGGAGCGGAGTCCTCCCCCTCGGTCGACACACGGATGAGCTCCGCGCTTTGAACTCTCGGCCTCCTCTCTCGGGGGGCTTCTAAGCGCTGGGCTTAAAAATAAGCGATCCAGCTAACAGCCCGGGCTTCCCTTTCGGAAAAGAGGAACAAGCCCCCGGCTCTGACAAGCCAGACGGGCAAACCAGGATCAAAGGATGCAGACGCGGGAAGCGAGGGCAGGGAGGGGTGGCAAGCAGCAGTTCTCCACGCCTTCCAATTGGGGCAACGCTTTCCGCCAGGTCCCCCAAATTGCACCTTTTTTCCTTGCTCAATTCCCCTCACGGCTTTCGAGCCCCCGGCTTCTTCCGTGTGTGTGTGTGTGTGTGTGTGTTTGTGTGTGTTTGTGTGTTCAAAATGCCAACGGCAAAGGGAGGCAAGGTAAGATCCTGCTGTGCTTAGCAGAGGTTATGGCGCCAGCTTGGAGATACTCCGACGTTGCACCTTACCCAGGAAGGCAGGGGGAGAAAAAAGAGAGAAAGACGCCCCAAAGCATCTACTTACCAGAACGGCGCCCAAGGAGAAAGCAGCCATCAGACATGCCATGTGCCCCCCAGGCGGAGAGGCTGCAATCGCGGGAGGAGAAGAGGAAGGGAAAGGAACCCGCAGCAGCGCCCGCAATGGGCCGAGATTGATCGGCTGCTTGAAAACGGGTCCGATCGAGATCCCGGCAGCTTCTTCCCAAGGGCGGTCCTATCTCGGCATCCTGCCGGCTCTTGCGCCCTATTGGCTAATGAGCCGAAGGGGGCGGAGCGTACTCTCGCTGGGTAAACGTGCTCTTGTTTTCCTTCAACTTCTCCAGGGCTGCGCTGCGCTTCGCGGCGGTTTAAGGTCAGTTTGGAAGGTTTTTTGCCCCGGCCCTGCTTTGGGTAGCTCCGGCAAAAGGAGACCGTACACGGAACCGATGGTTTCCCGACCCGAGAGGAAAAGACTCGGGGACAGGGTTTCCAAAATAAAAAGGGACGGAGGAGGGCGGGGAGGTCAGAACTGATTTGACGCCCGTGTTCTGCCCCGTCCCGCAGCACGGAGGTAAATGTGGGACGCTTATTCAGTGGTGTGGGCGATAGCGTTATACACATTGCCAGAAGGACAAGAAGTTTCAAGGTTTAGACTGGGTTTTGGCTTCTAGTCCAGAATAGGAAATAGTGAAATGGAAAGAAATCGATTTGACTAATCCCACCTGTTGATTGTTTATGTTGAAGGAAATTCATTTATGGGCAAAACTGTGTGCCTAATGTTTATAAGGCATGGTGCTTATTAGTTGTAAGTTTGGAAGATTTAGGGCAGGGGTCACCAACTTTTGGACCCCAGGGACCACCAAACTCATAATGTTAAATACCGGGGACCACAAATATGAATTTTGACTGAGGGTGGCTTGCTGACAGTGGGGGAAAGAGAGAGAGACCTGATCTAATCTCTCTCTCTCTCTCTCTCTCTCTCACACACACACACACACACACACACACACACACACACACAGAGGCAGGGGTGGGATACAAATTTCTTAACCTGTTCTGTGGGTGTGGCCTAATTTGTGGGTGTGGCTTGGTGGTCATGTGGCTGGCTGGGCATAGCTTGTATGTAAATATTATAAATATTTATATAAATGTTGAATTTTTATATAAAAAGGAGCAACTTTTACCCAAAATCAGGCAAAGCAGGCAGGCAAATTAAGTTGCTCACAGAATCACAGATTCATTCAGAGATCCATCTATCTGCCATTGGCTACCTGAGTCTGTACTGACAAATAGAAGCTTCAGTCCTAAGGAAGGTTTGGCTCTGCTTAAAAGCAGAGCTGAAGATCTAAAGATTAGTTAGAAAAAAAATCCAGTGGTGGTATTCGACCGGTTGTGCCCGGTTCCAGAGAGCTGGTAGGAGGCAAGTTTAGAACGCCTCTGCGCCTGCGCAAAGTGGATGTTTGGTGCACGTGCGCATGCAAAGTGTGTGCACATGCGCAAAGTGCGTCCACCAAGCCACGCCCACCGAACCGATGGCAACAATGTTTGAATCCCACCACCGAAAAAAAATCCAATGATTAACTGCTTTCTAGCTAATCTAAATCTCCCGGCACAGCAGAACAGCTGATGGTCAGAGAAAAGAAAAAGGAAAAATAGCAACTTAGCAGGCAAGTTTGCCAGGTAAGGAGTGAGTGGGTGGGGAGGGTTCTCGCAGGCCATGTGGGTGGCGCAGCCTTGTGTGCCTGCGCATCCTGGATTAATTGCTTTGGGGGGGGCCGCTCTGGGGGTGGCATTTCTCTGCGGACCACCAAAATTTTCTTGCGGACTACCAGTGGGCTGTGGCCCACCACTTGGCGCCCACTGATTTAGGGAAACACTAATGTCCTTCCTAAGTGGTGGCTTTCAGACATTTAAAATATAAATTGCAGGCCTTATCCTTATGGTGGATTCCTTGTTGTATTCTTGCTTATGATTGACAAGTTGCCATCTAAATTGATAGCTGGATGTTAACTGTTAATCAGAACTACAATGAATTGTATGCAACTGCAGTACTAATATAAAGTTTAAAAAAATCAGCTGAAGGAAGATTACAGAACTGAAGTGTTTGATTCCATACTACTGTATCTATTTATCTTTATGTAGGCTATGATATTTCTATTCCTTGAAAGTCTAAAAAAGTGGTGAGTAATAAAATACTGAACTTCCTCTGTGATTTACTGTTCTGAAGTGATGCAACATTTTAATATCTCACACTATTTGAAGTGTTCAGAAGATATAGTAAGGTGTTTAGCAGTGTTATCTCAGCATTTTTACAAACACATGCTATATAAGCAACTAAAACAAATTGTTTTATAAGTGCCAGGCATATTCCTTAACATATGAGAAAGTGACCTTAGGGTACAAAACAACACTCTTTACTCTTTAAAAGGAGGGTCCCTAGATTATGGATCTTTCATTGTTTTGGGGACTGAAGATGTCCTTTTTGTCCAAGCGCAAATATATATGAACACTGTGGAAAACATTCCACTGTTAAGTGGCTTCACCAATAGAGTTCCACTGATGGGTCTCTCAAAATGGAAGAGAGTTGTTGGTGAGATAAGGACAAAGCCATTCTCCTGGACCATAATGTATTTGCAGCTGTAAAGAAGGCCAGAAGCATCTAGAAGGGTATCAAGAATGTCATAAAGTTCATATTGTGGGAAGTAATTATCAGTTCTATTCTGCCTTAATCAGATCTCACCTGGAGTATTATGTTCAGTTGTGTATACTCCAGTTTAAAAAAGACATTGTTAAATTGCAGCAAATTAAGAAAAGAGTTGCCAAGATGAAGAAGGGACTGGAAATGAAGTCCTATGAGGAGTAATAAAAAAAAATCCTAATAAGCTCAGCTTGCAGAAGGGAAGGTTGAGGAGAGTCAATCTTCCCAAGTAGACCAGACAGAAAATACAACCAGGTGAGATAATTCTAGTTTACTGTAAGACTACAGTAACAGAATCTTGTAAGTCTGAAAGCACATACCTCCACTGTTTCATTTACAACCCAAGAAGCTAGATATGGTCTCTTGAGTTCTTGCTTCACCCACTAGCCAGCTGTGGGCTATGCGATCTCATTTCTGTCTGTTCCTTAGACCAGTGGCCCCCAACCTTTTTTGTGCCATGGCCTGGTACCAGCATCACAAAATAATCCACGGCCCAGTACCAGCATCAGCACACATGGCAAGGCGAGCCGAGCGACCGGCCAGCCAGCCGTCCCCCGCTTCTCCCCACCACCTTAAACTCCTCCTTTGTACCTTTGTTGATGGGCTTCGGGACGGTCGTTCGGCTCGCCTTGCCTTGGGTGCTGAAAGAATCCTCGCGCCTTAGTTTCGTTCGAAGCCGCCCACCCTTCGATGAAACTAAGGCGCAAGGATTCCTTCAGGACCCAAACGCCGCTTTCCAACCGGAAAAGCTCACCGGAAGCACTTTCTCATCAAAACAAGATGGCGGTGCCCAGCAAACCGGCGGCCCGGTAGAAAATGTTCCACGGACCGGTACTGGTTCGCGGCCCGGTGGTTGGGGACCCCTGTCTCAGACAGCATCTTTGTCTCATCTTCGAAGATTTTCTCATGTACCTTTATAATAGGGCACATGGTAGCTGTCTTCAAACACCTAAAGAGCTGTCACACAGCAGAGGGATTGGGTTTTTTCTCACTTGCTTCAGAGAGCAAGACTTAAACTAATGGGATGAAACTCCAAAGATGTAGATACAGATTTGGTATTTGGAAGAACTTGGCAGTAAGAGCTGCCAAGCAGTAAAATATATTACTGGATGGAGTGGTTTCTTCCCATTCACGGATGGTTTTCAAATAGAAATTAGACAATTATCAGGAATTATATACTGAATCCTGCAGTGTACATGGGACTGATGATATCTTAGGTCCCAGTTCACAGTTGGTAAATGACTGTATCCAAACAGGACTTAATAATGGTGCCCCTTCAGTTTGGAGGAAAGTACTATAAGTAGTAGAATAGAATTGGTCTATGTCCTCAACTGTGTTCTTCAACATTTTTTATAAATGATTTGATGAAAGAGTTGAGACACTTGTAAAGTTTGCAGATTATACAAAACTGGGAGAGGTAACCAAATAAAATGAAAAAGAAGATTCAAAAGAACTAATCAGGCATTGGCAGTGCGTAGAATTCACCAAGGAAAAACAAGTTCTGCATCTGGGTAGGAGAAATATGGCACAAGTAGAGGACTGGGAAGACCTGTCTTGGCAGTAGTAGGTGTGAAAGGTATCTGGGTATCCTTGATGACTACAAATTAAACATGACTCAACCGTGTAATGCAGTTGCTAAAAATTAAAATGCCAATTTAGGGTATAATAACAGAAATATAGAATCAAGATTATAATACTTTGTTGCAATCAGATCCCGTTTAGATCATTTGTCTACCTGAAGCAAGTTCAGAAGAAGACTACAAGATGATGAAGTTTGAAGTATCTCTCACATACCAAGAATTTGGTGTAGT